TTCGATTCCAGTCAAGGGCATGTACCTGGGTTGCGGGCACATCCCCAGTAGGAGATGTGCAGGAGGCAGCTGATCGATGTATCTCTCTCATCGATGTTTCTAACTATCTCTCTCCCTTCCTCTCTGTGAAAAATCAATAAAATATATATTTTTTTTTAAAAAAAAGAAGGATCTCTTGCCCTTTGCAACAGCGTGGATAGACTTGGAGACTATGATGCTAAATGAAATAAGCCAGTCAGAAAAAGATAAATTTCTTATGATCTCATTTCTATGTGGAATCTAAAGAACAAAATAGGTCCAGAGGCATGGGTGCCTGGAACAGACTGACAGATCTCAGAGGGGAGGAGCGGAGGGGGACGGGAAGAGATTAACCCAAGAACTTATAAGCATATATGCATAGGCTGTGGACAGAGACAATAGTGCGGTGAAGGCCTGGAATGGGGTGGGGAGTAGGTGGAGGGGGGGAAAGTGGGGGACATCTGTAATACTGTCAACAATAAAACAAACAAAAAAATACTTCACTCTCAGCAGAAACAGCCCCTCCTCCAGGAAGCCCTCCCTGACCTTCCCCTCCCACCTCACCTCCTCAGGTCATCCTCGAAGGGCAGGAAGAGCCACTTCTTGGGCATGTCCTTGAGGAACAGGTCCTGTTGCTCCTCTGTGGTGTCCTGAGACACGTACACCAAGGCCAGCTGGGCTGCCCGCAGCACATAGAACTCATCGGTGAGCCGAATGAAGAAGTCCCTGAGAATCGGGGCAAAGGCCTGGCACTGGGGGCAGGACCCAGTGCCGAAGAACAGCAGCACCAGCCGGTTGTCCAGCCTGTGGCTGAGCTCTGCCTCTGTATCCAGTTCGTCCTGGTCACTGTTGTTTCGGATCAGAACTCGACCAGAGAATAGGGAGGCCATGGTAGCCCCGGCTAGGGCCTGGGAAAGGGTGCAGGGACCTGTGTGGCCCTGGGCCTGCTGGCTGGCTGCTGTCCCAGGATTAGGGATCTTTAGGAGGTCAGTGTAGGGCCTTGCTAATCTGCCTAAGCCGTGACCTGATTCTGACCTGATTCTGCAGAGCTGCCCCGGGCGGAGGGCAGCTTCCAGGGCCCTTTCTCAAGGCATAACTGCAAATGCGTTTTAAAAATGCGCAGGACTGCAAAGGAAGCCCGTCAGCCTGACATAAGGTATGAGACCTGTTCCTTGTGCGATATAAAAACACGTGCTTCTTCATTGAGCACATTAAGTGATCCCGATTCACCAGGGCTCTACTAACCACTGCCATCTCCGAGTGGAGATGAGCATGAGTGGTATTTTGAGGTGTCTGCCGTGGCCAGGATGTGAGGTGAAACTATCTTGGGTTTCCACGGGTGAAGGGGTCCCGGGACCGGCCCGTGCCTGCTGGGACAGGCTTGAGAGGCTTGCTAGATTACGGTGAGAAGTTCATGGAAATACAGATGACTTCCCCCCTGAATTCTGACCGGACAGTCCACCTTAAGGTCCCCTGGTGTGCAAGGTTGAACATCATGGCCGCCGTATTTTGCAGCCCCTCCATCAAGAGAGGGAAACCAGCTCCCCTCTCCTTGAATCCAGGCTGGCTTGCAACTTGTTTCCATCAGTAGAGTGCGGCAAGAAGGTGTGAGTTTACAGGATCACGCTCACCTCCCGCTGTCACTCTCTTGGAATGCTTCCTCCAGATGCTCCAAGTATTAGACAGGACAAGGGCCTCAAGGTCTGGGCAGCTCTAAGCCTTACACTACATGTTAAAATGTCGCACAGTGTTTTGCAGACAGCTGGAAACAGGATGAGCTTGACAACAACCCAACCAGATCATTGTAGCCAGTTGCAAAGAAGAAATCAATGTGTGATTAACCAAATAGTGTATGTAAACAATGGCCAAGCCTTGCCTAACTGGTGAGCTCAGTGGTTAGCGTCGGTCCGCCTATGAGCCAAGAGGTCATGGTTCGATTCCCGGTCAGGGCACATGTCCAGGTTGCGGGCTCAATCCATTGGTGTTTCTACCTTTCTCTCCCTCTCCCTTCCTCTTGAAATCAATAAAAACATATTTTAAAAAAACCCCAAACCAATGGCTAAGCCTTCCTTAGGGGACACCAGCTTCGAATATGAATCCCGTCTCCGTTACTTGCTGCAAGTAAGTAAAACTACCTTGCGACAACCATGTGTCATTCCTTTCTATTTAATTTTTTTAATTTAATTTTTTTTAAATAAAGAAGGCAGAGTTTTCTTTTTTTAATATGTTTTTATTGATTTCAGAGAGGGAGGGGAGAGGGAGACAGGGATAGAAACATCCATGATGAGAATCAGCTGCCTCCTGGAAGCCCCCTACCGGGATGGAGCCCACAGTCTGCCATGTGCCGACAGGGAATCAGACGGTCACCGTCTGGTTCATGGGTCAACGCTCAACCACTGAGCCACACGGGCTGGGCTATTTATTTAATTTTTAAATTTATTTTAGAGAGAGGAGGGAGAGAGAGAGAGAGAAGCATTAATGTGAGAGAGAAACATCAATCGATTGCCTCCCATACTCGCCCCCATCACGGATTGAACCCACAACCTAAGTATGTGCCCTGACCAGGAATCAAACCCGCTACCTTTTAGTGAACGGGACGAAGCTCTAATGAACTGAGCCACACTGGCCCGGGCCCACGTCTCATTTCTGAATAGAGCACCCCCCAAACTGTGAACCCTTGGAGTTGGTTAACACAAGGAAGCCGAGGTAGCCCAGAGGTTGACAAGCCTTTTTTGGAAAGGGCCAGGTAATAAATATTTTCAGTTTTGTGAGACATACAGTCTCTGTTGCAGCTTTAAATTTTGTCATGCAAAGCTGCTCTAGACAGTCTGTAAATGAATTTATGTCTGGGTTCCAGTAGAATGCTATTTATGGATGCTGAAATTTGAACTTCATAGAATTGTCATGTGTTATGACATATTACTCTTTTGACTTTTTTAAACCATTCAGAAATGTAAAAGCCCTTCCTAGCTCCTGGCGAGTTGGCTTTGGCCTGTGAGCTGTGGTCTGCAGACTCCTTTTCTAGTCTGTTGGGTGAGAGGCCACCTGGAGAACTAGATGCCCAGCTAGCAGCCAGCGCCACCTGCCACACATATCATCCTCTAGTCCAGCCACCCAAAGAATATTGCCGAGTGACTGGGTCCAGTGAGACCACAGAGGGACTGACCGCCCAGGCAACCCATGTATCCTGAGAAATAGTTGATGGCTGTTGTACTGAGGCAGGTTAGTAAGAAGCTAGGAAATATCTTGGCAAGTGGAATGACGAAAACAGGGACACATAGTTAAATAAGGCCAAGCAATTAACAGCCAGCTAGCCCTAGCCAGTTTGGCTCAGTGGATAGAGCATTGGCCTGCAGACTGAAGGGTCCCGGGTTTGATTCCAGTCAAGGGCACATGCCCCGGTTGCAGGCTCGATCTCCAGTAAGCGGGTGTACAGGAGGCAGCCGATCAAGGATTCACTCTCATCATTGATGTTTCTCTTCTCCTTTCTCTCTTTGAAATCAATAATAATAATAATAACAATAATAATAATATATGTAATATATTTAAAGAAAACAGACAAAAAACCCCTTGAGATGAAGGATGCCAGTGCTGCCCTTACGGTTTGGCTCAGTGGATAGAGCATCAGCCTGCGGACTGAAGGGTTCCAGGTTCGATTCCGGTCAAGGGCATGTACCTTGGTTGCGGGAACATCCCCAGTAGGCGGTGTGCAGGAGGCAGCTGATCGATGTTTCTCTCTCATTGATGTTTCTCACTATCCCTCTCCCTTCCTCTCTGTAAAAAATCAATAAAATATATTAGAAAAAGAAAGGATGCCAGTGCTGGCTCTCCCAGAGCTCGCCCATGTCCTCCCTTCCTTCCTCAGGCATGTATCTCTGCCTTTCTACTCCTAATCTCCCAGGATTTCTACCAGACTTGCAACCAGGGGAGCAGCAGGCAGCAGCAATTTGCCCCAGGCTAACTCCCTGAATTTATCTCCAGGGGCCTTCCGTTTGCCTCTGTAACTTGTTTCCTGAGCCCACGCAGCCCAGTGTGGCTCATTTCTGTGACTGTGGCTTCCTTCCCTGAGTCTAGGCCACTCAGCTTAGGCTCACCCCTGTTACTGTGATCTTGCCCCTTCTATCTTAAGTCCTTCCTTTGTTTCACCGTCCCCGGCTTTCGTAAATGTACTCTCAAAATCACCTGAATTCAAATCGTAAAAGCCTGCACAAAGTCAAGAACCCACATATTCCCGACTGCCCCAGGGCAGGCCCTCCTCAGGCCTGGCCCCTTTCTGGTGACAGTTATGAAGCCACCGCGTTTGGGGCAATTTGTTACGCAGCAGTAGCTAACAAAAACTCCTGCTCTAGAGGATTTTTCAGGGCCTGGGAAAATGTGGGAGATCCTGAAAAAAACTTGGTATTATTGGCTTTGAGCAATAAAAAGAAAACCACAAAGTCCTCATTGCCAAGAGTTTAATTCACGTTGTCAAGGCCTCATGAATGGATCCCTTCCAGATGTGCCTGTTTCACTCCATTTGGAAACACTTTCCTAGACAGATTTTCTTCACTCCGCCTTTGCCAGAACCCTGGGAAGTCCAGGCCTGTTGGGAATTCAAGAGGGCACTGAGAGCAGAATCATCTCAACAGTGAGCTCCTCTGCAGTGTCCTGAGCACAGTCCGCAAGGTCGGTGCGGTGTTTGTCCCACTCTACGGGGGAAGCACGGAGCCTGGCAGAAGCTGGGCCCCTGACTAAATCACCCAGCGAATGCCCGTGTCAGGCTGTGGAGCCAACTCCAACCCGACCGGAGCTGCCATCTACCCCAGGGTTCTCAAAGTGCCGCACCCTTGCCACTTGGGGCCGGACCGTTCTTTGTGGTGTAGGGGTTGTCCTGTACATGACAGGACTCTTAGCAGCCCCCTGGCTTCTACCCACGGGATGCTGGTAGTGTGCTCCCCCTTCCCTAGTTGTGACAATTAAAATGTCTCCAAATGTGGCCAAGTGTCCCCAGGGGGCAGTTGAGAACCACCGTTCTAACCCTTTATCCAGGTGTAGTGGGTGGAATGATGGCCCCCAAACAGATACATCCAAGTCCAAACCCGCAGGACCTGTGGCTGTGACCTTGTTTGGAGGAATAACAAAATTTGAAGATGTAACTAAATTCAGGATCTCTAGATGCGACGGTGAACCCTGAGGAAAAAACACCTACTACGAAGGGCTCCTGGTGGCTAACTGGGCTTAAATTCAACAACGACAACAACAACAACACACACAACAGCCTAGCCCTGGCTTGCTCAGTGGTTAGAGTGTCTGGGCACCAAAGCGTCTTGGGTTTGATCCGGGTCAAGGGCACTTACCTGGGTTGCAGGTTTGACCTCTGCCCCTGTCGGGGAGTATGCAGGAGGCGACCAATTTCTCTCTCTCTTCCACCTTCCCTCCCTTCCATTCTCTCTAAAACCAATGGAGAAAATATCCTTGGGTAAGGATTAACAAAACACACACACAAACACCAAAACCAGTGAATTAATAATAAAAAACCTGTTAATTTCATTATAAGCAAATCTGTGTTAAAAACATTGTAAAATTAACAGGGCGTTAATTTTCACATATGACACATGGCCGGGAAGTTTTGTCCATCAATTCCGAAGTCCACTAAACGAAGGCCTGCAAAATCGAGGGTTTACTGTACTTTGTTTTGGCAGCCCCAGGAAACTCATACCCAGGGAAGGGAGGGGGAGAGAAACACGGACTGCTTGCCTCCCTTACATGCCCGGACTGGTGGTGATCCAACTCAAAACCTAGGTACGTGCCCTGATCAGGAATCAAACTCACAATCTTTTGGTGCGCCGGATTAGCTCCAGCCAACTGAGTTACCTGGCCAGTTTCTTTCTTTCTTTTTGAGTTTCCTGAGGCTGCCAAACACAGAGGA